GGAAGCAGACTGCCACATCTTTCTCCTGCAGAGGATGGTGAATTCGAACTGATGACCTTTTGGTTAGCTTAAGAGTGCTTAATCACTGTGCCACCAGGGCTCCTCATTTCCTTATAGGCTTACTTTAAATAATATCATCTTGGGTACTTCTACAAGATATTTTTATTGATGTACACATTTTGTAAATTTAATGATTGGGTAAAAATTTTATCATGTCTGGCACACAGGTGCTGAATAAATATGTTGAATGAATAAGAGGTTGAACTATATTTAGCCTTGCTGTTCTTCAGTTAATGATGAACAATATAGGAGACTGGTATCAATTATGAAATAAATGTCTAAGAGGAAATAAGACAAGAACTTAGTTTTACTACAGTTTTAACACTCATTTAAATAAAAATTTAAATTCTGATTCTTAGAGGTAATGTAAGTAGGCAAAGGAGGAAAATTCTTAGTCATTAATTATTTTATTTCCATATTTGGATTTAGAAGTGTATGAATATTTTAGAAGGAGCTCTGGTGGCACAGTGGTTAAGATGTGGCAGTCTGCTTCCATAAAGATCACAGCCTTGGAAACCCTATGGGGCAGTTCTACTCTGTCATATAGAGTCACTATGAGTTGGAATGATGGCTGGGATATTTTGGAAGATATTATTATTATAATTAATATTGTATGTAAATGCCATGTATGCATATATCTATATGTTGCATAGAAATTTTTTTTTTTTTTAATATACAGTCTTAGGAAAAAAGCCTTAATGTACATAGAGGTGTCAGATATTGAGCACACAACAGGTGTTTATTGGTGCTCTCTTGCACCCACAGAAGTATACCTACTTTTTCTTTATTTTAGTGGTGCTTTAGTAATCTGTATGTTTAAGAGATATAAAAGTACAGTAATCATCATTCTCCCCCACCAGTATTGCCAAATTTTCACCCAGTTGCCCCAACTCCATAGCTGTGCTTAGATAGGGAAACAGTAAAGCCTGTGTTAAGTGGATTTAATACACTGCAGTGTGATCTGTACCTGGCAAGTAATTCTTTTTCTTAATGTATAAATTATGTTTTTATATAGCTGCTTTTAGACTTTTATTTAGATCATGTTAGGAACAAAGCAGATAGCTGCGTTATTTGGCTAATATACTTTTGTGGATTCAACATAAGATTATTTAGAAATCTACCTCTTTTTAATGGATCCATTAAAATGTAAAGTATCTTAGAAAAGAGAATTATTTGACTTTTTCTTTAAGAATGAGTTTTGTCTTATTTAGTTACTATGAACTCAAATATAGATTCATAGGTAAGTATGTGTGTATGTTTGAATGTGTATGTACAAACTCTCTCTCTCAGATTGACTTAGGCTTTAGACCTCTTTTGAAAAGTTGATCTAGTGGTTGGTTTAAAAATGTGTGTATCCTTT